CTCTCTCTTTCGTTTCCTCTTGCTCTCCTTCTCTCTCTCCTTCTCTCTCTCTCTCTCTCTCTTTTGCTTTCTCTCGCTTCCTTTCTCCTCCTTCTCTCTCTCCCTCTGTCTTTCCGCATCTCGCTCTCTTACGCTTTCTCTCTCTCTTTCACTTCCTCTCGATCTCCCTCTCTCGCTTTCTTTCACTTTCGCTTGATCCCCATCTCTATCTTAATTATCTCATGCATACTATAGTAGCTAGGGCATCGTGTTTGCGTCCGTTCCCTTTCTATTCTCTCATTATCAGAAAGTCATCGCTCTCCGCCGTGGATAGAGCTGGATCTAATGTTAATTACACCCCCATCAACTCCTCCGGATCTATATCTAGCAGCGACAACTTTCATATCTGGTATACACCTGTAATGTTCGAGATGCGGCAGGCGCGAGTAACCAAACAATCGCTGCTTACACGCAGGTAATTAAACCAATTAGGCAAGACTATGAATGGTTTGTCGCTCGGCTGGAGCATATAAGTCTGGAATACCGAGAACGTACGTATATCGCATATTGATATATAGCGTTAACAATTCTTAATATTTATACTTGGTTTTATAATAATTTAGACTTTAAAGTGATTACGTCACCGTAAATAGTAAAAAAAAAAAAAAAAAAGTAATTCTGTTTACATTTTATGGTTAAAATGCTGCATTATACTTCCTATTTTAGTATATTGTTCGATGTGAAGTTTTTTAAGTAAGGTTTTAGTTATTAACAAAAGAGTTTCAAAACATCTGTCTAGGAGAAGCGCCACAATTAACGAAGAGGGGGGGAGGACGAGAACAAGAACGAAAAAGAAGAAGAAGAAGACGAAGAAGAGGAAGAAGAAGAAGAATAAGGAGAAGAAAAAGAAAAAGAAGAATCAGAAGAAGAAGCTTTACTACTCGCACCACAGCACTTGCATTCGCCACAAAGTTTTCGCATTAATGGATGTGGTCTGTTAGCCTGCCTTGACAGGCACACGCGCACTTTCACACGCGCACGCACGCGCACACGCACGCACGCACACGCACGCACGCACACGCACACAGCGTCGGAAGTTTGCGTCTCTCAGTTTAGAAGCTCTTGGGAAATTAACTTTGCCACCGCTACATGAATCGTTATATTTATTCGGCACAGCTTATAATGGGATCCGGCTACGCGCTTAGGTATGCCGCTTTCGTCAATTTCGGTGTCTCCATGGGAAAAAATGCCGTATTTCTGTTGCTTTGTGCAATTAGTCTAACACGCGTTACATTAATTGCCCAAATTCGTTGCCATAGTAGCACATTAGTGCGAAGAATTAGCTCGGGTAAGTAAGCGCCCGGCAGGTGCGTCTATGCACGCGATTGATCTCTCACGAGCTCGCGTGTAGACTGGTACTCGCTCCCACCTCTATTACTCGATCCCATCGAGTAACTAAGCCGAGAGGTGGAACCGGGTACCAGTCTAGCTCACGCGCAGCGATCGGCGCGACAGCAGCTCCCCTCGGCGGACCGCCCAGTGGACCGCCCCCGCTTGTCGTCTGGCATGATTGACCCGTGCGCTTGTGTTTACTGGGTAACTATGCGGCGCCCCTTTCAACAACTGCGCTCGGCTGGTGGTGGTTATCGTAAGCCGCGTTGTGATGTTGAGGTTGCTAGTGGTGTTCTTCCACGGAAAGTTTGGGCCGTGAAGATGACGGAGTTGCCGCGACTCTAGGAAACTTCGAGCGGTGATTTACTGCAAAGATGGACAAGCCGAAGTGCATCTGTGAGCTGTGCACCTGTGGGTATGTGGATCACTGGATGGGTGTTGTTGGTGTGTCGAGTTTGGTTGGCCGTCTCAAGGCGCAGTATTAATTATTATACGTAAGAACGGTTCAAGGATGTCCTGACTGTCCTAGCTAGTTTCTGTTTCAGCTAGCTAGGTCGTAGGTAGCTCTAGTACTATAGCCCGCGTACAGTTTCCGCGGCAACCGTACGCGGGCTATAGTACTAGAGCTATTGGTCTACGCACGTAGCCCGACCAGCAGGCTGTGCGACGGATTGTCTATGCGGGTATTCTAACCTTAGCAATACCGTTTCTTGGAGCTAAGGTCTACGTAGGTATGGGCGGCACTAGGTGTGTCACATTGTGCGTGTGCTCACGTGTGTGCGCGCTTTCATGACATGTGTATGTACGTGTGTGTATTTGAATGTGTGCTTATTACTGTTCCTGATTAGGGGTCACCGGGTGGCCCTGTGTGAGTGCCTGCAATATTTGACATATCCCTGCGAGGCATTGTTGAGTAATCACTGTAATGGATCACTAATTGAGCCCTCTGATCTGTGTTGTCAAGGCCAGTTCCACCCTCACAACCTCAGTTATTGTGAGGGTGCAAAGAGAGTACATCATCACTGGCACCAGTCAACTCCAGTACATTGCATAAACTCGAGCTTACTTTAGGCTGTCCATACATACATGCATCATCATCATCATCATCATCATCATCATCATCATCATCATCATCATCATCATCATCATCATCATCATCATCATCATCATCATCATCATATACCATACAGGGGGACCTACCATACACGCACCATCAATATAACTCTAACACACTAACCATGACCCTAGTCTAATCCTATAAATATATATGTGTATACTTTATAATATGAGGGTCCTAAAGTAGAGGCACCTCATGATCACTGGCTATTAATGTGAATATCGGTTAGTTATGTAAGGGTTATGTGAAGGGGCTCATGATTCAGATTCATGAAGTTGACAGATGGCATACTCTTTCCCACTCAGCTATAAACCCATAACCTTGACATAACATTCATCATAGTTCACAACTTGCAGACTGCAAAAGCCTAAGTTTAAGATTTGTTTTACACCCAGTCGTGGTGCGATTTTAGTGGCACCACTTTTTAATCGCAGACAAAAATCAAATCAATGATTGAAATCATAATGGCTCATTTGTGCAAGGCAATCGAATATCAGTAGCAAAAGGTGGAGCTTGTCTGGGTCTAGAGCATACCATTTGAAGGCAAGTGATCATGTAGGGAGGTGCATGCAGTAGGGAAGGAGCAGGATGAGATATCTTATTTTACTAAAATGCTATGGTACAAACAATAGTATGGACCATGCAACTACCCTGGATCTATGGATCTATTTCTTGTACCTAGATCTTTATGGATATATATCAAGAGTAGATAATAACACCTATCTGATGTTATTATCTACTCTTGATATATATGTGTATTTAATTTATCCCATAAGAATACGCATTTCCTGGCAGTATAGCTTTATATACTAGTAGCTCAAAATTTTTAGGGTTCTGGTAGAGACATCCATGCGTAGAACCAAATTCTGAGTTTGAAGCGTGAAAATTATCAAAATAAAATTGTCTGAAATAAATATAATTTAACCTATTTCTTTGTGAAACGTTTTAGTAGTAGGTAGAAACTGAAAGAAGAAGGTGGCGGTAGTCTGCCATTATTAATCCAATGTCAATTAATGGTTTGGATGACTCCCTAATGCATATATCTCTAAGCCGTTTAGAACATGACCTAGATGCTTTATATTGCCAGCACTGTTACTTAATGATCAGGCAAATTATTAAAACTGCAGATCTATCAATAATTATGAGCCGATGGCAGGCAATGAATTTTTGATATATTGGACCAAACACAACGAGAAACGTTTGTAGTTGGCGTCAGAGTGAATTTTGCACATACTCGAGTGCATTTACTAAAGTGGCTATTAATGGTTGAACTAATATTTCAAGGCTTGAGATGCATTAATAATTATGAACAGATGGAAGCTGAAATATTTCTACATCGAGCTAGCATACGGCTTGGCAAAACGTTGCGTTAACTTATTAATGTGTAACATTCTTCAAAACAAAAGTGAGATATGCCGTATGTTAGTGTTACATATCACATCATGGTGGAAGTACAATGCAGAAGAATGGACATGTAACTGCAAGCAACAATGCTTAGAAATTGTTTAGAAAAATGGTTGTTTACGTTGATCGATAATGCAGGTTGTATACCGTCCACAGCTGCTGAGTAGCTTTACCTGTTATAGGTACGGTCGGTAGCATTAGATCGATAGTTCTTTATAAATCAATACGTGCAGTATACCCTAATTTAATATGCCTCAACAACAGGAAGCTCATATAGTTAAGGTTATGCGTGGGTCAGGCCACAATATTATGTGCCATCATTGAAATTATATATGTATCTCGTTAGATTTATATGAGAACTTCCTTGGCTAAAATAAAGCATAATGCATAGTATAAAGAATCCGGTTTAACATCCCATTTGATGTTGCTCAAATTCATGCGGAAAATTATGTTTGTGTAACAATGTACATTTTAAAGTTTACCATGAATTAAATTGACTTAATTATTATGTGTGTGAACACTATTCAATATCCTTTAAGTGTGTACATGACACCAGACAGAGTGAAACGGCAAGCAAATGTCAAGAATGTCTATCCAAATATATGTAACAATGCATAGCAATCTTTATATTGATTTTACAGAGTCAAACTCCTCTGAGTAAATTTGCATATGTGTGTGCGTGTGTGTTCGATACACACTAGCCGAGTGCTTGCACTTGCAGTGAGCTGGTTAATTATTGATTAAGCAGGTTAACGTTCATATTTGCAGAACTAAAAGTATATGTGCATACATAAAAGTATATGTGCAATACTAAAAGTTAATATGTGCAGAACGCTTGAAATGCGGAGCCTCCGTGACAACATTTGTGATGATCAGTGGTAATCATGATTTACTATACTAACATATAACATAATGTAGAGGCAAGTACGTGACAACGTCTGTAATGGTTTCGGGGATAAACAGCTTCCTTCGCATATACTTGAGTGATTCAGGCATGAAGGGTATTCAACTATTCATTCAGGTGTTACGCTCGACAGTTACTCACCTATAGTGTGAATGATCTCGGTGAAATGAATCAATCGGTGTGACACCCAGGTCGATCTTCACGGTACCCTAGATATATGATCGATTTATTGCTGAAGACTGCCCTGTCAGTTGCATGCGTGTGTGGGTTTCATCTGCATTGCATCATCTAGCGATCGGTTGCCGATGAGATCTGGTTGTGAAGCTCCCAGCTTTGCTCCGTCAGAAAGCTTTATTGATTTATGCGTAGCTTTGTGAATCTAGACGCGATGAGACGTGTGGAAGCGGCAGTAGTGGGATGCCTTCACTGCTTGGTCCGTGCTCCACAGCGCTCCGCTACTGCTGCTGCTGCACGCATTGTAGGTCACTGCTTTGTCTTGTTCTCGCTGATTTATTAGCGCTACCCGTGTAGGTCTTTAGTCGGGCCGTGGCGACGTATGCTTGTGATTCTACGCGAGGGATAGGATACGTGATACGCGCGTGTCGTAAGTCTGTAGTGATATCTTCCAAGGATAGCAGCATAGATGAGACAGTGATTATCGAAAAGCCACGTGCACGAATTAGTGAGAAACGTGAAACAATGTGCACGAGATAGAGATGTGAGAGTTGTGATTTTACGTGCGGAATAGGACGTCTGTTGTGATTTATATCTTCGGAGGATAGCGACAGGCACCTCGTGGTGAGTATCCGTGAAGTCATTAATTATCAATGACAGCCGTGGTGCGTCGATTATCGTGATCTGAATCATCTGATCCTAGAAAGGCATTAAGCCGAGATACAACTGTAAGAAACGAAGAGTATACATGGGTATGTTAGAGCAGTGCTTAGACTTAAACTCGTGAATGGTTCACACAAGGGTGAATGAAATTATTTTGGGGTGAATGAAATTATTTTGGAGTGAATGAAACTTACCAAAAACATAAGGAAATTTAGTCGCGGGTGAATGAAATTTTGTGATAAAGACTCGAAGGTGAATGATGCTGAAATACTTTAAGAAGCACTTGCTTAGAGCACGTTATAAAGCTATGGTGCTCCTCAGTTACTGTGGCAGAAGCAAGATGCTGAGTACACGGGATAAGGGGATTTGCACGAATCGGAGATAAACGTGGACCAACGTACACGAGATGTTGAAGTGTGAAACCAAGTGTATGAGTAACAACTTGCAGCTGTAGGAAGCCATGCGTGTAGGTGAGTTAGAGAAGTGTAAAGCCAAGATGTAAATGAGTAACTTACAGCCATGCAAAAGCAGGAGTGTATAGGTGGCTTAGAGAAGTGTAAAACCAAGTTGTGCACGAATAACGTACAGTTGTGATAAGCCAGGAGTGTAGGTAAGTTAGATAGGTGCACATGAGATAGACAAGTGTAAAGCCACATGCACTAGTCACATGCAGCTGTGAGAAGGTGGCGGTGTAGTTAGGATAGTGCAGTGTAAACACGTGGATACGTTATGGAGACACGTGGAGCCATGTACACGAGATGGAGAGGAGCATGGCATCACTGTACACTTTAAGATAGTGAGAAGCAAGAAACAGTACAGGAGTAAGTTTAAGCTAAGTATAAACCAATGAATATGAGTAACTTAGTGATAACTATTAAGCTACAAAATAACCTGGGGAAAGTATTTGGAACAAGGGTATGTAATTTATTGAATAGAGTGCATTTCTGCATTTGAAGCAGAGTTGGCATCCTTCGCTGATGTAGCATTTTCACGGAGCTGCTACTAGCTAATTCATGCATGTCGATATGTGACAGTTACTAGGCGACAGTGGAAGGTAGAGTTTCAATTTATACATGAGCAGAGCAGACACTATTGTCAATGTGCTACCGAGTTAGGTAACTACAGTCCATCAAGCTAGTCAGGCCTAGCTGGTATTGATAAAGTTAACTGCTAAAGTAATGCTGTACGTTTGTATTGATGTATATATACGCTCCAGTAATATGAAAGTAATTAAGTCATATATACTACAGTAATGTGAAAATGTTGTGTCTAGTTTTTGATAATAACCACAATTTTATAATCACAATTTTATAATCGCAATTTTAACTAGTAAGGTAATGTATCTAATGCTCTCAAACTACGTTTGAAAAAATCAATATAATCTAAATAAATTCAGGTAATGTTATTTCTTTCCTACCTATAATGGAAAAATTGTCGACAAAATTGTTTGCACTATTGAAACTAAGCTTTGTAAATATTTAAATTTACAATTAATTTATTAACTAAATTGAAATAATGGAAATTTTTACTGGTAGCATTGAGATGTTCTCCATCGATTCTGCCTTAATGTAAACTTTTGCTCGCTGTCCCGCCACGATTACATACATCACACCCTGATTTCAACAAGTTATACAAGCGATCGACTCCATTGGCTCCAAAATTGCTCACCTAGTGAAGCCATCACTTGAATGAGTTGCTACTTTATGCTCCACAGACAGCACCACTGTCCCCATACCAGTGATACTACAGGAGCGTTGCATTTTAATGAGCCAAGTGTAAGTGCAGCAGTCAACAACTCCAGTTCAGGCGATACATATGCAAAGGAACCTGCAAACGAGCTGTCACCTTTGCCACAGGATGGAGGAAGGTCGGACAATGTGAGTTCATATTTTGGCATACATGTGTGCATGCGTGTTCGTGAGTGCATGTGTGCATACATGTGCCGTGCGCGCACGTGTTCGTGCGTGTGTGCACGTGTTCGTGCGTGTGTGCACGTGTTCGTGCGTGTGTGCATGTGTGTGCGCATGCGTGCACGTGTGTGCGTGCGTGCGTGCGTGCGCGTGCGCGCGCGCATGTGTGTGTATACATGTGCGTGTGTGCATGTGCGTGCGTGCGTGTGTGCGTGCATGCATACAGCGCGTGTATATAGGCTGTTAATGGACTGTCACTAAATCCTGTGGTGTGTTGTTGATTTAGAGGATGATAGCTGTAGTTAAAGAAGTCTTGCAAAAAGCCATTCCGTTTGTTGAGTGCTACATTAGAATAAGGAACCCCAATCTCTTTAACTATTCATCAATAGCAGCATTAGCTCAATTAATTAAAAGTAGTTTCCATGTTCTTATATTCTCCCAGGGACAATTTATTGCATTAGAGTTAAATGGCATATATATAATTGCATATAATTATTAATTGCATATATTAAACGGTTCTTACGAAAGTTACTCTGAGGCTCCTATGTAATTGTAGTTTGATCTATGTAATACAGTTTAACTCTGTATACTTGCAGTCTGAGCATACAATAGGAGAGATAGCCAACGAACAAAGTGAAGAGAAACCAGATTCTACAATGAAATCTCAGCACGTGGCTTCTGTCAGTGCCCATGCTAGCAGTACTGCAAGAGATGACTTCAGAGAGCACCCTGTACAACCAAGGTAAATAGAGTCAAATTCTAAAATGTGTTGCTCTTCGGCCATGTTTTCTTTGTCTCTAATACGTGCTTAGTGTAAATTTGATGGGGAAAAAATTGAACGAATGGGCAGTAAGTAATTCATAGAAGTAAAGACGTTTTCATTGGGCTGTCCTAAAAATGTTAACACTACATATATCATAACTGAGAATACTGGTTTTGCAGGATTAGCACTTGAATGATTTGCATATTGCAGGTGCATGTTTGTCAATCTTCATGCGTATTTCTCTGATAATTACTTGTGCAGGCAAAGAAGAGAGGTTCCTCAATACGAACCCAGTCGGGAGCCATTTGATGGCACGACTACAAATAGTCAGACTTTCACGGGACAGACGCTCCCTAAAGGGCAGAGCTTCAAACCCGATAACAAACCATTTGCTTCTAACGCTCCGTTTGAGGGTCAGACTGTTGCGCAGAGTGAATATAAGCCATATCCAGTGCAAGAAAGGTGAGCCAGTCATAGCTTCATCAGACCTTTAAGCATGGATGTTACAATAAGCATGCTGTATAATAATGCTTGTATTCTAGGTTGTTTGATTTTGGGTTCTGTCAAAAATTTGTATTCAGCGAACTTGGTAGCAGCTTTGTTAGTTGACTCCAGCATTTTATCAGGCTCAGTTAAACGAACTGGCTCATGACTGTATTATATATCTTTACTGGCACGGTAAGATGGAAGCTGTGCATATCGTGTGCGGGCACGCAACCCTGAGTCCAGCAATACTAACGCAGATAGAAAAGTTAAGCAGCCAGATGCTCGCATGTGTTCGTCGTCCATGATTTAATTAGGATTTGCGTGAATGCACATTTTATGAATTGCGTTATCTAAACTGCGACAATGCTATTTCACGTCATCGCTAATGAACGTAAGCGTGTGTTATGTACAGGCAGGTAAAGGAGGCTGCACAATATACCCCAAGCACACAAGCGTTTCAAGCACAAACGACGAGCAAGGACACTTTCACAGGACAGACAGCTGCTAGACAGAAAAGCTTCAAACCAGAAAACGGACCCGTAGCCACAGATGTTCCATTTGAAGGCGTGACCACTGCAAGGAGTGAATATAAAGAGCATCCTGTTCAACCCAGGTAGGACAAAATGAAGAAAACTTAACCCTTGTTACACCATGTAATTCATCCATTCATGACGTCCTTATTTAGTTGTATGGGTTCTAAATACTCGGTTTTTAGCTCATCTGACGTAGTCAGGTGCAGCTTGTAGAATCGCATGATTGTCCGTCCGTCCGTCCATCCGTCCGGCTGTCCGTGAGTCCGTCCGTGAGTCCGTCAACAGTTGGGCACAAATCTTAACCGCTCGACGTACGGTCACGATATTCGGGACGTGGGGGGGTATCCGAAAACGAGTTGGGATGTCGAAGCTGGGGGTCAAAGGTCAAGAGGTGTAAAAGAAGGGGGAACATTCCCTCCTTAAATTAAGGTATAGGGAGGAAATGCAGAATTGCGGCTCGACCTATAGGCTCATGATAGTTGGTGTATAGCATCATAGTAGGAAAAGCCAACACTGTGCCGAAATTGGAGGTCACAGGTCAAAGGTCAATGGGGCACAGGGCAGATTTTAGACATTTTTTGAGGACATGGTCTGACGGAGCGATTGGAAAACTTTTTTGTTTCAGCGGTGACCTACCATTTTTATGGCTTTAGTGAAAGGACCGTAAAATGTACTTTCCGCTGACATGCGAAGAGTAAGTGTCGGATAACCTTTTGACCCTCAAGAGGAGGGTTAAACATTGATTTGTTGACTGTTAACAAAGGACTGAACTGCTTTTGCTATTATTAGAGCCCATCCCTGTGTAAATGTGAGGCTACAGTGAGGGTGGGTAAGGGTATTTTCGTGAAACGTGATCGGCCGTTTTTATACCTCGTGAACTGTGAATTGCAATTTATTTTGTCTGTGAGCTGTGAATGGACCACCTTGCGTGAAGCGTGATTTAGCTTTTATTTAGTCTGTGAACTGTGAATAAGAGGTCTCTTTCCTTGTGAATCTATGCATGTCAGGCGCGGATTTAGGCCGGTTTGCACCGGTTTCCAGAAACTGGTCGCAGGCCTCAAAATTCACCAGAATGCACCAAATATAGCCTAATTTTTTTTTAATTCCCGGGGGGCATGCCCCCGGACCCCCCTAGCTGCAGAAGAACATATGGAAACTATATATATATATATATACACGCACGCACGCACGCACGCACGCACACACACAAGCATATTTTTGATTTTCAGAAGTGTTGTTAGTCAAGAAATACACTTGTATTGGTACTTCTATGACCTTATCTTATGAGTCTGAAATTTTAGCTGTAAACTGGATTATCCCCGTGATCTGTGAAAAGAGCATTATTTTCACTGTGAAATGGGCACCCCCCCCCCCTACAGTTGCACAGTTTCATTTCAAAGGCAAATGTTTGTTGAACAAGGTTTACGCTCCTTAAATCATATTATTTTCTAAAGCAGTCTGTCTATAGCACCCTGAATGCTGAATCAGTGAATGCTCGTGTGGGTAGGCAAAAACACGGGGCAGCCCATGGCTGGCACACTTCTAATCATAATTGTTGCCTGCCAACCTGCAATGCACATGTGTCTGCAATGCATAGAGATTAGGTGGGTGCGAAAGTGTAGCTGATATATTTGTTCGAATTGGCTATGAAAGTCGAACAAGAATAAAGAAGACTTATGTATAAGACGTCTTAATTGCTATGCACAAATGAATTTATCAGCAGAACACCAGACACCAGATGAGCCCTGTCGCACTGTGGCACTTGTTCTTGTTTCAATTTTGTATATCGTCACCCTTCATTTCTTCTCGTTAATTGCAAGGGTTTTAGTGTCGTACTAAAATCATGTATTTACTATTCCAATTTAATAATTGTCTCATCAAATAGAGAGAGGAGGGAACCGGATCACTATAAACCCAACACTGCGCCATTCCAAGGTCACACCACCAGTAAAGATGCTTTCACGGGACAAATCGCTCCAAAACAAAAGAGCTTCAAACCTGAAAACAAAACTGTGGCCACTGTCGTCCCATTTGAGGGTGCCACGACAGCAAGGACTGAGTTTAGGGAACATCCTATTCAACCAAGGTAAGGTCTGGTGCACTTTGTACTGTAGACAGCTTCACAACACAAACAGCTGCTAAGCAAAAAAGCTTCAAGCCAGAGAACAAATATGTAGCATCTGATGTCCTATTTGAAGCTGTTACTACAGCCAGAAGTGAATTCAAGGAACATGCTGTTCAAGCAAGGTTAGTGCTATTAAATTTCCCACTTGCTATTGTGAATATTTATTATGCATCTTAATAAATGACATGTGTATGCTTGCCTTGTTGCATATAAGTGCATGCTCTTTATTATCAGTAAATATATTTCTGTTTTATTGTTTTAGACCACAACCAGAGACTGTGCAGTACACACCAAACCCTGCACCATTTCAAGGTGAAACTACAAACAAAGGTGCTTTCACCGGACAGGCAGTTTCTAAACCAAAGAGCTTTAAACCAGAAAACAAACCAGTAACTTCTGATGTCCCATTTGAGGCTGTTAGTACAACAAAGAGCGAATTTCAGAAACATCCGCTTGAAGCAAGGTTAGCTAGAATTTGTTATATTATTGCATTGCCTTATTATTTTGATTAGCTTTCTTTAAAAATTAAAATTTATGAAATTATTTGGCTGTTAGAGTAAATATGTTGTCATCTAGTTAGTAATTGTTCATTATAGCTAAATATTTCTGATTGTATCACTGTTATAGATACAAGAAAGAGGCTGCACAGTACACACCCAATCCTGAACCATTCGAAGCACATACCACAAGCAAGGACACTTTCACAGGACAGACAGCTGCAAGACAGAAAAGCTTCAAACCAGAAAACAAACCAGTAGCTTCTGATGTTCCATTTGAGGCTGTTAGTACGGCAAAGAGCGAATTTCAGGAACATCCTGTTCAAGCAAGGTTAGCTAAAACTGGTTATTTTATTTTATTACCTTAGTCTTTTATTGGTTTTCCATCAGCAATTAAAAAGTATAGAAGTACATTTGTTAGGAAGAGTAAATATGTCATCCTCTATAGTTAGGAATGGCCCAATAAAGTTATTTATTGCTGATTGTGTCATTGTTATAGATACAAAAAAGACGCTGCACAATACACACCCACTCGCGAACCATTTGAAGCACATACCACAAGCAAGGACACTTTTACAGGACAGACAGCTGCTAGACAGAAAAGCTTCAAACCAGAAAACAAGCCAGTAGCTTCTGATGTTCCATTTGAGGCTGTTAGTACATCAAAAAGCCAATTCCCTGAACATCCTGTTCAAGAAAGGTAACAGTAATTTTATTTTATTAGCTATTACTATTAAAATTAATGTCAATGTTTTTTTAATATCAAGAGTTTTTGTGGCAAGTTATAAACAGGAGCTCTGACATATTACTTTATATTTTTTGTTACTCTGTTATAGATACAAAAAAGAGGCTGCACAGTACACACCTAATCGTGAACCATTCGAAGCACATACCACAAGCAAGGACACTTTCACAGGGCAGGCAGCAGCTAGACAAAAGAGCTACAAACCAGAAAACAATCCAGTAGCTTCTGATGTCCCATTTGAAGCTGTTAGTACAGCAAAGAGTGAATTTCAGGAGCATCCTGTTCAAGAAAGGTAATAGGAATTTAAATTTCTACCTGTTAAAATTAAAACTGATCAGTCTGCTTTTTTAAAGACTAGATGTGACCTGTCATAACAAGAGTTTAGTAATATTGGTTTATGTTTCTTATTTCCTCATTGTTATAGATACAAGAAAGAGGCTGCACAGTACACACCCAATCCTGAACCATTCGAAGCACATACCACAAGCAAGGACACGTTTACGGGGCAGGCTGCAGCTAGACAAAAGAGCTGCAAACCAGAAAACAAACCATTAGCTTCTGATGTCCCATTTGAAGCTGTTAGTACAGCAAAGAGTGAATTCCAAGAGCATCCTGTTCAAGAAAGGTAATAGAAATTTTAATTTCTACCTGTTAAAATTAAAACTGATCAGTCTGCTTTTTAAAGACTATAGACGTGACCTGTCATAACAAGAGTTTAGTAATATTGGTTTATGTTTCTTATTTTCTCATTGTTATAGATACAAGAAAGAGGCTGCACAGTATACACCCAATCCTGAACCATTTGAAGCACATACCACAAGCAAGGACACTTTCACAGGACATCCAGCTGCAAGACAGAAAAGCTTCAAACTAGAAAACAAACCAGTAGCTTCTGATGTCCCATTTCAAGCTGTTAGTACAGCAAAGAGTGAATTCCAAGAGCATCCTGTTCAAGAAAGGTAATAGAAATTTTAATTTCTACCT